CAACGGCATGCTTTGGACAAATCATGAACGACGGATTCCATTTGTGCACGCAACTCAAATTGTTTTCACAAATTTGCAATGCCACTCGGAAAATAAGACTCTTTATGAATTCAAGCAATGCGAATTAAAGCTATTAAAACGTGGATTTAGTGAGTTGAATATATATTTAAAGGTCAAACAAAAGGCAGACAATGTAACGGTAAGCAAATTATAATCGCACAAATATAAAGCATAGCACTGTATGATCGATATGATTATAAAATACTATGTAAGGTACTACAATCTGCGTGATAATTCAATTCTTCTTCGTTTCCTTCATTTTCATCTTCTTTCAGGTCAGAGCGGAGTTGTTTCGCAAAACTAACGGTTACACACCCTTTATGTATAATTTTACTGTGGACTTTTGTGACTTCAAAAGGAATCCACAACGTAATCCTGTCTTACATATATTCTTCAGATTTTTGGATCGGAATGGCAATTTGAATCATACGTGTCCTTATGATGTAAGGCCATTTACTAAGTACTATTTAAGTAGTAGTTTCGTTGAATTTCATATTCCTCTTACAGCACGATGTCATTTTGAAGAATTTTGTGATGCCAGATGGTGTATTGATGCTATTGCCATATCCCAAAGGCGATTATATGGTGCAATTAAATTTCGCTGTACGCAACAAATGGCTAATTTTTGTAAAAGTATTTGTTATGCTGACCGAATAATCGGATGGGTTGAAAATCGAAAAAAGTTTTAATAAAAAGTAACCTAAGTACAACTTAGAATTTTTCTTCTTCTAGCTATTTCTACTGGTAGCGAAAATTTTCATAGCCCAGTTGGTCCGTTCACTCTAAATCCTAATGGCTTGTGCAACGTCGTTTAAAGTTCAAAACCGCGTATCGTCATTCTGCAAAACCGCGTAACTGGAATTTGCTGCCAAAATTTGGATTTGCTAACACTCACTAAATCACACTTGGCTCATTCCTTATCCATTCGTCCTGAAATATACTAGCCAGAAATACGATTGATTTATAAAAAAAGAGAACCATTTTGAAATATGAGTGTTTTTACTCTCTAAAAAAATAGTTTATGGTACCTCACATACGCGGTTTTGCATTTTGTTGATACGCGGTTTTGTACTTTATACAACGATATGCTTGTGTTTGGCCGAGCTTCTCCGATTTGTTTCATGCGCCTGGATGTTGTCACACAAAGGGGAGGGACCTACAGTTTTATGCCGATCCCGAACAGATTGTATTTTTATGGGAAGCTGTTTTTTTGTTTTTTTTTATGCTTTTATGTTGAGTTGAACCGGGCTTGAACCCAGGCCCTGGTACCGTGCACTGCCAACCACTACACCACAACGGCCGCACATTAGCGACAGGCGTGGTCAAAAAATCTCGACTTTGCTTTATGCTATGTTAGGATAAAATACGAGTTTTTAAGTAGGTGGCAACCCCACTTGAAAAAAATAAAAGCTGTTGTACTTCAGAAGGCCATGCCCTTTAATTGGCTATCTTATTTTGTTATCCAACGAACAGTGAAGATAGAGGCTAAGTGTTTTCGTTTGACAGTGACGGTGCAGAACTGATACCTTCGTTTATAAAGATTGAATATAGTAATTTTCTAAGCAGGTGGCAACCCTACTCAAAAAAATAAAGCATTTATGCTTATTAAGAGGCCTTTCTCTTTCATTTGACACCTAATTTTTTGTAATCCAACGAACTTTGCATATCTTATAATTTTTAAGACAGGTGGCAACCCTATAAAAATTCTAAATTCTGACTATACAGAATATATTAGAGAAAATCACGTCCAAATTCGTTTAATAGTTTTCGATGTTAGCGTATTTAAGGAATCTCTACTTTCCCGTATACTATGTATAGATAAATTAGGAACTTTTAAATAGGTGGCAACCCTACTAAAAAAATTAAAGGTTTTGTACATGCGAAAGCCATGAATTTTCATTGTAATCCAACGAGGGGTGAAAATCTTTTAATTTTTTAACAGGTAGCAGCAAGACTTAGGGCTGGTTTCTCCAATTCAACTCAACTTAGTTTAGCAAATTTTTTTAGACTTGGTCCAGAATAAGCTGTGCTTTTAAGTCCAAAAAATGGCTAAACTAAGTTAAGTTGAGTTGGAGAAACCAGCCCTTAGACTTGACTTGACTTACCTAGAAACTTAGAACCGATTACTCTCCGTGTCATCTAAGCGTATCAAATTGAGATTGTTTTAATTTTATTTTCTGTATTTATTTGAATGTCCTTTAGTTTTCGAGATTAGCGCGTGCAAGGAAACTCGACTTTCCTTTATACTATGTATCCTTTATCCTTTAGTTTTTGTATAGCATGAAAAATAAATAAAAGCACATTACACGTTCCAAAAAGTTTGTTTCAATATATATTTTGTTTTTTTTTTTATTATTGATACATAATATATTTGATCAATTTTTGGATTTGTTTCTGATATTTATTTAAAAAAAAAAATTGTTTCTTAATTTTATTTATATTTGGTTGTGAAGCTAAGAAGAGCAATATGGATAATTAATCACATTAATGTAAGTTCAATCGAATCTCTTTTTCGATTTGAGTTATTATTATTAGGGCCATTCCATTATGACTAGTGGGACATTTTACTCCAGAATGTGATCAATTGTGAATTTTGACTGTGTCGTCGGAACTTATACGAAAGGGAAAGATATTTTTTAACATATAACGATAATTAATGTATAAAATTGCTTTAACGAAAATTCCAAACGATTTTTTAGTTTTATTAACTATCATTAGAATGAATGTGACTAGTGGGACACTGAAAAGAACTCTATTTTACCCCTGTGCACTCAAAGATGAATTTTAGCCAAAACACTTAATTTTCACGAACGATGTATTTGTGTTGTGAAAAATGAATTATACGCTTTCGTTTTCAATAGAAATTAGGCTTATATAATCTTCATAGAAATATTAAAAAATATTTAAAGTTATGGATCGTGGGACATCTCCTTGTGACCGGTGTAAAGTAATTATGCATGCAATAAAAGTTTAAATAGACTAAAAATGCAACTTCTTTTGATTTTTTTTTAATATTTTCCCACTGGTTAATGAAATGTAGTCAATTAAAAAGATGTTACTACTGAAATAGAGATAATTAGGGCATATTTACATTTAAGTTGCTTTACCCTTTTCAATGGAATGACCCATTACCAACAAACATTTAAATTTTCAGTAAAAAAATGTTGAAAATTCGAAAAAATTGGAATTAAATCGAACTTGCACCACCAATGTCGTATCGAATAATCGAATGGATAAGCAATGTTCTAAACTCGAAAAAAATCGAATTTCAACTCCCCACTACCCAACCCTAATGAGCGAGCGGCTGAATGGCTTCAAATCGGCTACCATCCTTGGGAGGTGTGCCGTCCATAACATATTTACTAGAAGAGAGTTACAGTCGGTGTTTAACTCTTGTCAGGTTCCCCAGATAATAATTTCCCCCAAATTCGATTTTACTGGTAGTAGTTTACTCTTACCTCCAGCCTGAATGAATGACCGATATATTGTGTTCGGTCTTACTAGTCGCCATGGAGTCATCGATAATGTTCTTGTATCGCATCGGGCATGAACTATTTCTCGACATGTCCAGTGTCATTCTGAGTAGGGACCGAAAATAATCGTTAAACATGATTTTTATAATTGGAGGTATTCACACCTGCCTGATTATCAGGTTAAAAGTTATTATTCTCTAGTGTATTTTGTTTTTGTAAAGTGAGTTAAAAATATAACCATAAAACCATAGATTTACTTAACCTGAGAAGAGGTCAGGTGTGAATGGCCCAAATATTTTAAAATCGTTATCTTTAGATTTTTATTTTTTTCAATCAAGAATAATTCCATTTTTATTTGTCCGCAAAGAAAATTCATGTAAGATGGTGTTGTTTCATCAGCTGTGAATAGCGTGTGATTATCAAAATTTTGTATTTCGTTAGTGAGTGAAAACGGGAGAGTGTTTGTATTTTCTGTAGCCTAAACGTAAAAACCAAATTCTAGTAAATTTTGTATTTTTGAATTGATATCACCTTATATGAATTCACCTTTACTTGTTTGGGAAAAGTTTAATTGTTATTTTGTGATTTTTGTTATTTTTCGATCAAAAATAATTGCTATTTTGGATTTTAACTTTTTTCGGTCATTTTCAACCATTATGATTGAGACTGTGTTTTTATAACCAATTTAAAACTTTTATGATCGAAAAAATAAAAATAAAAAAATAATAAAACGTTTAAATTATGATTTTTATTATGAAGATCATAACGGTTACTCTTGTTGTTTTTATTTTTATCCAGTACGTTAGCCACCTGTTGAGACAAGACCATCCGATACCCAAAAACAGATAAAAGGTAGAGGGAAAGAAACAGTACACAACGGTGGAGCATCGTGCCATAGGGGGGGACACAGTATCCGTCAGAAAGCCATCGATTTAAAACCATTCATTAGGCAAGGAAACGCATTAAATTCCGAATTAGTGGAGGCGGGTAATACGATACACTCCACGGCTGAATTAATAGAATTTGGCAAAAGCGGGGTCACCTCTCAAAGAATACGACACCTCGTAGCGCCCAGACATGTAAGATTGGCTAGGCATACACAATTTATGACCCTGCTGCTGCGAAACGCCTCAATCATACGGCTCGACGGCTTAGAAATCAAAAATTTTGCAAAGAAAGCATACAAATATGTATTCTTGTTCTCTCTCTAACCCTTTTAGTACATACCAAACGACCGACAGAAGGGTTCTCTATATGGACGCGCACAAAGTAAATTTCCTCTCTGAACATCACTGATCATGGTTGCCATTTTTAAAACTCTATTTTGGATTTTTTTCTCGCTCACAAGTATCTATCCCATTATGAAAGTACTTTACACATTCGAAAAGTTCTTAGCGGCCGTAAGAAGATCAGGACTACATTTTAATCAAAAAGTTTGCATCATATATTTATTGAAGTTTTGAACATTAGATAGAAATAATATTTTACTCCTCAGTGACTTGTATATATGATTTAACTGTAACTTTCCAATCGTTGTTTACCGCAAAGCTTATTTTCAAAAGGTAGTCACCCATTGGCCACGGCAGTGATTGCAGATGTTTACTTTCAAGCACAAGATCTTTGATTATAATGTCATGCTGGAAATGAATTGGAATATTTAAAATTACTATAAAAAGTACTTGGGAATTTTACTTGAATATTGTATTATTACTTCACTACCGAGCTACTTACATCGTACGGACATGTGTGGTTTATATTTGAATACTTTTCTACCGCATCCAATATCATTTTGCCAAAAGGTGTTTGCTTTCTATACTTAATAAATCGACAAAAATCCGTAGTAATGTTAAACATGAAGGGACGATAGCCATTTGCTTTTTTATACACATCCGCGTTTACACCGACATTGGTCACTGGTACTTGATATAGTTTTGCGGACAACGAGAGGGCGACTTGATTGCGGGATAAAGCTTTCAATCTGCATTGGCGAAAATCAACGAAGGATTTATCAAGACTAATACACTTAAAATTTGTAAATTTTATATAGGCAATTATCGTTGAAAAATTAATAAAGGCACAGTAAAATGCTGCTACAAATTTAATTGTGTTCAGTAATTTCATTTTGACCGCAAGGCAGGTGAGCCACTGACGATATGGAATATAAAATCTAACGATAGTTAATAAAACTAAACGTATCTGGTGTAAGATTGTAGACAAACATAATTATGTTTGGCACCATTAATGTCTGCTTGACAATACGAGGACTACTCCAGATATTCTGCGCCTAAGCAACACGAACAGGGCAATTGTGGCAATTATCTGTCTTTCAACTCACGACTGTCTGTCGAAAGACAAAAGTCTTCTGGCAACTAGCTTGAAATTATTTTCCTGTCTTTCGAAAGACTAATTGAAAATCTGTTCATGAGGAAGCCTTAACGTTATTCCGTGTGTGTTTTAGCAATAAGTTGTCTAAATGTTAAATTAAATAAAAACTATATGTTTTTCTTTTTAAAACAATAAAATCTAAAAATTAAAAGAAAACTATATTAAAAAAAGAAAAAATAAATAAAATAAGTTTTTAAAAGTTAAATTAAATTAAAAGTAAATAAATTTAATCTAAAAATCATAGAAATCTAAAATATTTGTTTCGTTTTTAAACAACAAAATCTAATAGTAAAAAAATTAAATTACAAAAAAATGTATTAAAAAAAATAAAAAAAGTTTATAACAATAAAAAAAAGAATTAAAAAGTATTTCGCTCTTTAAAACAATAAAATAAAAAACATTAAAACAAATTGAATTAAAACAAAAAAAAAATAAATACAACCACAGGAAGATTTAAAACAGTTTCTAAAAATTTAATGAAGTGAAAAAAATACTTTTCTTTTTAAAACAATAAAATCTAAGGATTTAAGGAATTTTAAATTAAAAAATTTTAACATAAATTCAATGAGTTTCTTAAAATTAAGTAGATCTAAAAAATATGTCGCGTTTTAAAACAATAAAATCTAAAAATGAAAAGAAAATTAAATTAAAACTTTATAAAAAAAAAATAAAAAATAAATAAAAAATAAGTTGCTAAAAATTAAATGAGTGTGAGAACTTATATTTTATTTTTTTAAATTAAATAAATTTAAAATATATTTTTCGCTTTAAAACAATAAAATCAAAAAATTTTAAGAAAATTGAATTAAAAAATTAAAGTTCTATTAAAAAGGAACAAATCTGATCCTTAAATCTAAATTAAACAAAAAGAATTACATGTTAAAATCATAAAAAAATAAATTAAACTAAAAATTTAAAGAGGATTAAATTTAAAAAAAATATAATTAAGAAAATTAAAATTAAATTCAAAGAAAATATATATATTTATTTTTAAAAATAATAACTACAAACTAAAAGAAAAATAAACAAGTAATTTTTAGTCAAAAAAAACCGACTTAAAAAAAATATATATATATCTATATATTTCATGATCGAATGATCGGATCTAAACCAAATTAGTACGTCTGAGACACTACCTTTCCGTTGCAAAAAGAATTATTGAAATCGGTTGACGTGGTGCAAAGTTACGCGGTAACATACATAAAAAAAAAATAAAAATATTCCTACGAACTGATAACCTCCTCCTTTTTTGGAAGTCGGTTAAAAATACAAGAAGTTTTTAGCAAAAAAAAGCGAATTAAAAAAATATAAACATATATATTTCATGATCCAATGATCGGATCTAAACCAGATTAGAACGGGACCACCTCTGAGACACTACCTTTCCGATGCAAAAAGAAGAAGAATCGAAATCAGGTGACGTGGTCCAAAGTTATGCGCTAACATACATAAAAAAAAATATTCCGACGAACTGATAACCTCCTCCTTTGCCCTATAAGTGTGGACTAGCTCGGAAATAGTGCAGCAATTAGCTCAATTTGCCAGTCGTTTAAGTGGTGTAAAAATGGTTTGAGAAAATAAGATCGCGTTACATTTTTGGATCTACATACATGCATATGATTATGGGACAGAAACGAAACCAGAATCCGCTGTGAGGCTTTTATAAGGCTATACAAATGTAATTAACTGACGTGTAAATATTTGTTCGTCCGCCGTTGGTGGCCTATGACTTTTTTTCTGTAGAAGCCGTTGAATCGTTCAAAATTTATGTTTTGGAGTCATCTCTGTCGGAGTGCAAAAAATGCTTTGAAAATTTTTTAAGCAGTCTTCATTTATAAATAAAAAATATTAGTTTTTCATTGTGAAACGCAAAATTTTTAATCAACCCTCGTATTAGTTGAAGAGTAAATGTATTTAACACTACATTGGCATAAATACCATGGGGATCTAGAAACGTGTGAAATGGGGGTTCTATCTTGCTTCTAGAGACCTACATAGTATGTACTTTGGAACATTAAAGGGGGCGATAGACGGCTACTGGTATATTTTATAGAAAACAAACTACCTATGGAACTGGAATGAGTGAATATTTTACTAACACGCAATTGCGATTATGCATTTATCTACTTGCCAGATATATTAAATTAGTCCGAGAAGTCATCGCAAAATCTTTTCCTAGCCATCACGACCAAAGCATTTTCTCCGAACGAGGCTTTTTACGCTTTCGATAGTTTTAACATGCATCCACAAAGTCTCTTGATTTAGTAAATCTATACTACCATTTTCTCTGAAAATGGCAGCACCACAAAGTATAAAAATAAGCTTCCCGCACCTCTTTACTGATACGCTTGTGCTTTCTCGAAATATTAACCTGCCTACTGAACCATAAAGCAAAATTAAAAAATCGTTAACTGTTCATGTAAAATTAAGTTTCATTTTATGCAGAATAGATAGTTTATAAACAATCTAATTAAGCTGCTTATTAGCCTACAATTAGCTTATTTTTTTGGGAGACCGTTCTAGAGGAGTAACAGCCGAGTTTGCGTTAAACAGAAAGACTACTGTGCTCAGAAGAGCATTGTTTGCACTCTCCAGAGGGAACCGGGATGGATAGCGATACGGGCCGTTCACCCAACCCTGGCTGCGATAGCTGAAGTGAAATTGAGGATACTTCTATATGCGAGTATTTTAATACATAAAAATTTCGGTTTTTCTGTGGTATTTGGACGACTGGTAATAAAAATTGATCATATTATATACATATATATATTATAACCACGACCAGACTCCACTTCTAGTCATACTCGTACATTACCATGAGACAGATCGTTTGCTGAGTCCGCCGCCACCCTCTCCCACCCCCAGTGTTGCCAGGTTTTCGGCATGAGAAAACGTCCCTCTTGGTCTGAAAAAACGTCATTTCCTACCCAAAAACGTCTTTTCCATGTATGCACACAGAATTGTTCTTATTAAACTTTTATTGTATACAAAGTAGGGATGTCAATCCCGGGATTAGTCGATTTAAATCCCGGGATTGCTGGAAACAATTTTCTTGTTAGCTAATTAAATTTTTATCACAAATATCCCCTCTCACGGGCAAATTAAGAATTTTTTGCAACCCTTAATGCTATAATTTCTTTAAGATCGCATTACCATCAAAAGAAGGAATAATTTTGATTCGCTCGTAATGGAATAGGTGATGCACTTATATTTTTATTGTTTACTTAAATGTGTTAACTTTTTTATTATTACTTAAATATACTGATAATATCTTAAATTGATCTCAAACAGTGATTCAAAAAATTTTATATAGTTACATGGGCAGTTACTGCTGTACCAAATACAACCACTTACAAAAATATTTTCCATAAATTTTTTTTGCAATATTCAAAATATTTTTCATGGTATTATTTTGTTAATTCAAAAAAATATATAGCTCATTTTACAAAAAAAATCATGTAAATCAAAATTTCACACTTTAGAGAAAGTTGGTTTAAGTTCACCAAATTATCATAAAAATATCAAACTTTTTAATCACAACACTGTGAGACAAATGGTAGGGGTCAGTGATCGGGAAGGGTTCAAACTACCGGGGAAAGTTATATCGGTAAAAAAGAAGTTATACGTGTCCCGGCGTTTCCTTTAATCTGTTCATATAACGTTTTTCTATATAATCAACAGTTTTAAAAAATTTAGTATTGTAGGCAAAAAATATTTTTTTTCTTCATACATTTATTTTTACCGGCAAAACTGTTAATTATATAGAAAAACGTTATATGAGCAGATTAAAGGAATTGTAATTTTTAAATTTTTTAAATTTTTTTGAGCAAAATCGGACTAGTGGTTCTCGAGTTATGTCAAAAAAAGACCACCAAAGGTAACAATTTCCCCTATATGATAGATATATATATATATCTCGATTCCTAGACGTGACCCAGCGAAACGCCGGGACACGTATAACTTGTTTTTGACCGATATAACATTTCCCGTTGGTTTCATCCCATCCCGATTTTGACTGTCGCATAGTGATATGATTCAAAAAATCAAAAATAATCAAAAGTAATCACCAAATTTAATCAACTACTTTTTTTGATTATTATTGATTATTTTTTTAATGACAAATAATCATGATTGTTTTTTGGTTAATTCTAATTATAATTGATTACTAATTCCTCGGTTAAAAACACTAATTGTATTAATCATTACGATTACCGAACCTATGTAATCGTTTTGATTAGCAATCGTAATCCAAAGTTAACAGGTCTGCTGGCAACGCTGCCCACCCCTTAAAAACTAGTCAATAGCTGTCGGATGCTAAATTTTGATAGTTAACCAAATGCGGCCAAATTACTAATAACAACTTCCTTTTTGTCGCGGCACCTAGCGGTGAAGTTTACAATAGAGGAACGCATGAATGAAAAAGGAAACACCAATTTTATCTCAGGCCTTACATTTTTATTTAAAAACTAGTGCTTTAGAATTGTGGCAACTAGTTTTCAACACTCTTTAATCTAATAATTTTTTTTTGTCCCTATTTTATGCTTTAAAAAGTGCAAAAACACTCCCAATTGTGAACGACAGCAAGGAAGAAGAAGCTGAAATAACTTTGACATTTTCGTTTTTAAGAAGAAAGAAGCAGAGAAAGAAAAGTTCAAAGCACTCTTCGGACAAGGCCAGTCGTATATAATTAAAAGAAAACAAAAAAAGGTCTTATATTAAGTTATTAGAAAGTAATTAAATTGAAAATTGGTCATAGCAATGGATGCAAATGCAGTTCAACAATGTGCCTCCTCCACATTAGAGCAAAAAGCAGCAGTAGAAGCAGCCGCCAGTGATGGACCTGCGGAAACATCGTCTGCAGCGGTGGCGGCGGTAAGTGAAAGCGTGTCAACGGAAAAGGTGGCCACTAATAAGGCGGCAACAAACGCAGTGGTTAACGAGACTGCCCTGCAGATATCAAGTGGAGAGAATGCAGAAATAGAGGAAGCACCGCCAACAAAGCGACTTAAGGCGGAATTAGAAGCTGAAAAATCAAAGGATGCTGAGGAGAATGAAAGCCTCTTTGGAAATATGTCTACGACCTCGGTCGCCGGTTCCATATCAGAAGGTAGTCTATACAACTTGCAAGCAAAAGATCTTAGTTTAGATGGGGTAGTTGCTTCGAACGCTACGTCGCGAAAATTCCAACGCATTCCCATATTCATAGCCGATTATCACAATGATGTATTGGAATTTATATACCGCTGCTTGGCTACGCGCCATTTGCCACTTCAAAATAATATACTAGTGCATTTTGATTCGCATCCAGACATGGTTATATCTCGTGAGATTCCGGCCAGTGCTTCCTTTGATAAAGAAACTATGTTAGCTGAACTTAGTATTGAAAACTGGATAATGCCAGCTTGCTATGCAGGTAAGCAAAAATTTAAATCGCTATGTAAATTATGAAATAAACCGAAATTTTTGCAGGCCATTTTAATCGAGTTGTTTGGCTGAAGAACTCTTGGTGCCAACAAATTCCTCTGGGCAAATATAACTTTAAAATTGGACACAAAAATGATAAGATAAGCGTCGATTGTCCACTTGACTACTTCATATCCGAGGGTAACTATTGTGATACCAAGGAATTGCATGAAACGCGCAACATGGAACTACAAGTGATCAACGTAGACACTTCCACCGAGAGTTCGCCAATAGATACCGAACAGTTTATAAAAGCTACGGATGCACCAAATTTTGTACTAGACATTGATTTAGATTTTTTCAGCACCTCTAATCCGTTTTTGGAAATTTATAAAGATGCTAACTGCTACGAACAACTCACCGACATATTCCACTTTGAACCAGAGGTTAAGGATTGTGGTGGCACTACGGAACGTAGAAAACTGCAATTGGAAGCGCTTAAAAAGATATTTGAGCACTTGGAAGAGGCAAGAACATTAGAAGGGCTCGCTCCAGCGCCCGATCCGTCTATAATTGCGCCAGAGACTTATGCACGCATTGAAAATCTCACAAAATTACTACAGAAGCATTATGCTGACGATGAGATAGACTGGTTGCTCATCTATGATTCGGGTAGTACTACAGATACGAATGGTCTGCCGCATCATATCAGTACTTCTAAGGAGTTGGAACAATATTTCGCACAATTTAAAAAATTGCTACAAAATTTACCGGCACCGCCGGTGCTAATTACAATGGCTTGCTCGGCTGAGGACGATTACTGCCCCAAGCATCAAGTGAGCTTCATTCAAGAACAGGTGTTGCAAGTATTGCGCGAAGTATTTGGCGAACGGTTGCATGATAAGCCTATACTACATTATTTGGACGAGGAATGGGATGTAATGCATCTATAATGCGAAAACTTAGACAACGTTGCCGCAACAATAGCAACAACAACATTGGCTATGTTTAAGGCTACTCGTATTTTAGTTAAAATGTTTATTTGGCTTACTTCAGTAGATACTTTTCGTTCAGTTTTGAATTATATTTATGTTAAAAATACGGTATTTGTGTAAACCATTTAAACATTTGACGATGAAAAAGTTATATATTTAAGAAACTGCGTATTAATTATTTAGATTATTTCCTATTTTTTTACTGAAAGTGAAGAAATGTAACAATTATACCACTAATATTAATGAGTATTTGGAAACACTCTTGACTACTTATACATAAACATTTATAAAACTCGAATTAGCGAAATAAGTATGAAAATAATATCAAAACCCGATAAAGAGCTCGTTGAAGCAGTAATGTTTGGTTTCCGCCGTTATGGAAAAAATTACAAGGAAATGAAACTAATATTTACAATAAAACGGTCATTAGTTAATAAAAAGGCAAAACTTTTCCCTATGCTTATTATCTTGGCCTATTCGCCATCACAAAGCACACACACATACATTCCCTACCCCAATCGTTGGCATAACTGCTCAAACTTTATTATGCTCCTCTATTCGACTTTATACATACACACATACCGCATGCCCCATGCCTTGTCCACCCTTAAATAGCTGACCATTTGTAGTGAAGTTGGTTTGTTACAGACCCACTGCATCGATTTTAAAAGCGTTAACATGTGCTAAAGTTTCTTGTACCCAGAATTTGGCTGGCACCAGCGACGTTGCATTTCTCTTACCTACTGTGTGAATATACTTTTGAATTTCTTAGGGTCGTAAAACGGCCCTTAGCCAAATAAGCATGCCGTTGTTTGTGTTAATTTAGTTTTAACATAAAGCAGTTAGTCGTTGGTGGACATTGTAGCCGCTGACACGCACCCACTTTTTGCGGTAGTTGGACAAACAGGTGGATAAAGTAAGAATTTTGGTGTTGTGCAAGAAGCTTTATGATTTTTTATACAATAAAATTCGTTAAAACAGGTGTGATACGAAATTTTAAAAGATATACATCTTTGAAATAATTTACAAGTAGGAAGTTTAAAGTAAATTTGCAGAACACATGATTCTGTAGTTTTAAATGGACTCGTAAGATTTGGTTTGGAGTATTTTTAACGGTCGATATCTTTAAAATATTTGGTTCAAGTAAATTTACTTTGTGAGCTGTAAGAGTGTTATGAAATGCACGGACCATATATCTTTGAGTTGCAGTGCAGATCCCCTTTTGTTATCTACCTTTTGTGAAAACATTCACTATTTCAATAATGCAGCGAAGAACGCTACCGCAAGGCTACATCTAAGGCACTCGCTGCTCAAACTAAAACATGCTGCTAGACTTAAAACACTTATTAAATAAAAACAGAACAGCTGAGACTACACCTATGAGAAAATACCGTTAGCAACCGCTAGCTAGCGACCAACAACAGTTTATGTTCAAATTCACCGGCAAAACAAAAAAGAAACAAATGTTTATACCTATTTACATACATACATACATTAATGAAGTTCAAAGGGGAGCAGAGCAGTGTGACCCCAAATTCTACTAACCATTGTTGTCAACACAAACATATGAAAAAATTTTTTCCAGCCTTTTCAAGCACAAGGTTGCGATTACTAATGAGAACAAATATAGTTCAGTTATTTAATATCTTTAACTGAGTTTTAAAAAATGTTTCGTAAGGGATTTTTTGTTAAAATAGAAATTCAATTGCATGCGGTAAGTGGAATAGTTAGTAAGAACATAACGATTATAATTATTTGTGGAAAAGCTTATTATCTATTTTTAAAATTACTCACCCAGGTGACTTGTCCTGGCGTTTGGCTTTGTACGCATGGTTATCTAGAAGTGACCATCAAAACATTGGGCTACTTCTTCCGTACGGGCGCGATGGAACCACGTTTTCCCCTACTTTGCCATGACAAATTTAGCATGGAAGGCTACTTTAAGTCCGTCGGGTCACTAAGCGACCTAGAACGCGTGCTATCCGCCGAACAAGTAGAGATAACATTGTGGCAAAATGGACGGCGCATGGCTTACTTCTCGGGGAAGCTGGCCGACGTAATGCATTCGGATATACCTAAACTGACTTGTGAGCATAATATAAATGTGCAGTTGCTGATGAAGGCGACACCTGCATTTCCGGTAAAAATAATGAAAGATATATACAATCTACGTATATCAAACTACCAATCATTGCCTTCTACCGTAGGGAATAATTACACCAAAAGTAGAACTAAGCGCTCATGTAGGTGTAAAGGACCGTTTATCACTTTCCGCAGAGTTGAGCCAACGCGTAGGAAAAGCTTGTGGTAACTCAGGTTTACGTGAATTGGAGTTTGAAGCTACACGAGTGCCTAATCGCCATTGTCAGCAGCAAACCTCGCCAGCTGGGAGCTGTTTCAGTTACTTGGAGGGGCGAAGGCGTCAAAGGCCCGTCTGTCATACCAAGACAAGCTGTGGTAGCGGGTGGGTCTTATTCAAAGACGATAAAATTTTTGGGTTTTTAATACGAGTACTATATCATCAATTTTCGTCTTTAAATTTAAGGTTTACGAGAGATAACTCAGCAGTTCCATGCTCAAATGCTTTGAATTCGTTCGATATGGAAGCAGTTGCAACTAAAAATGGTGCACGTCGTCTATCAGCCGATTCAAGGTAAACAATTAAAATACCTCCACGAAATTTTGCAATATAATTTAAATATTTTCCGAATCTAGTAATTTCAGTAATAGTTCTTATAACCTTAGCCAAATGACGCGTATGAGCAGCCCCAGTCATCGTAGTCACTCTGTTTGTACGATTGCTTCTATAACAGCTGCTGATGAGCATCAGCGTGAATGTCACATTTGCCAATGCTATCGGAAAGTTTTCTCATAACTCAACTTTATCAGTTTACAGCAAGTTTACAGTATCTCATAATAGATAATAATAAATACAAATATGATCGTATAGCATGATTCAATAATAATAATAATAATAATAATTATTGAATCATGATCATATAGATTATGAAATGGAATTTTTATTTAGCTTACATGAAAAGTGAAATGTGGATATAAAATTTTTTGACGTTGCACTTCCGGCATAAAAGTCCTATGTATAGAACTTTCGTCATATCGTCGTTCAAAATACAAAGCCGCCTATCGTCCGTCATTCTGCTGTTTTGTTGTTTAAACGATGATATATATGTTATTTATTGTACTCGCTTATTAAGTGACTGCTTTTTGCAGCTAGGCTTCACAAACAAATTCCGCAAAGTCCAACTGCCCAAATGCCTTTGATATCAAATGTATAAATAAATTATAAGGCACCGCCTTAGTTGCAGCCGTTATTGGTACTCGGCCGCGTAGTCGTATGCAAACGCGTGCTATGTCGCGTAAAGTACTATGCACTTCTGGTTCAATGGGTATATGTAGACAAGCCAATGTAGCATATAACCAAGTACCTATCCATGCATCAGTATCAACAAGATCCAATTCAGTTTCATCTGAATTTTCATTGGTGGCAGCATTCGATGTTGAAGGTATTGGTTCCTCGGTGGATGTATTTTGCAGAATTTCTTTTTCTTCTCCGCAACGCAGCCAATCGCAAATATATTCCAGTAGCTGCTCTAATGTATGTTGACTGAAACGCAATATAATTTTTAATAATGGCGGATTTTCGTGACAGAAGTGACGCCAAGCTTGTGGATCACTAATTAAAGGCGGCTCCAAAGATTGCTCATATTTGTGTCTGTGCAGCTCTAAACGTAGAAGTACTATCTTTTCACGTGATGATTCAAAATTCTCCAATTGCAAGTCTTTCCACTCCTTGGTAGGTAGCCGAACTTGGCACTGTATAGATTTGAGTGGCTCCTAAAGTAATTTGTTAATATTATAACGAATAAATTAAGCGCATCCATCTACTTACTTCCTCATCCTTGAAATTTTCCTCAATTGCTGCAGCTATTCTATCCATGTTACACTTCTTCGGCTCCTTTGCAATTACGGCAGGACACTTTCGGCGTTCGTACAACATATGCATGAGATATTCTTCGCCATCTTGTGGTGGTGCTGACGGATCGAAGTCAGGTCCTGGTTCGCGTATCTCTAGTGCCTTGAATTAATACTGGACAATCAGATTGCGACGCGGTGTATGTATTTTAGTTGGATTACCTGTTGTTGAAAAGTATCCATTTGATTGCCACTGGCACCGTTATCCTCCTTCATTTCCTTAGCTGGCTTGTGTGTAGCATTTGATTTGCGTTTTGGTTTTGAATTTACTTGATACAAAACATCGCTTTTAGCAGCCATTCTTAATAAAAACAAACCAAACCAAACTTTTAAAGCAATCGGCAGTCAAAACAAAAGCCGAAAAAAATCAGGCAAATAAAATTCTGAAGCATTAACGTCAGGGTTGCATATGAACGCAAGTGGTGCCAAATCGTTTATGTGCAAGTGCAGCCAAAACTAGTTAACCGGTTGTTTTCAACGGTAAAAACGAAAAATCAGTTTGAAACAAACTTAATTTTTGTAATTTCCCAAATAAGGCGAATTTATACAAGGTAGCGTTGACAAAACAAAAACAAATTACATTAACAAATTATACGCACAATGACGGCAAGAAGTCCGATAAAACAACGAACACACCATTTTGACATTCAGAAGGACAGCGGCGAATTCTAGTAACACCAACTCCAGGTGAATTTATACATATATATGTATATTTTTATATATAGGCTGAATTTCTTTATTCATTCTGAACGTTTGGAATAAACTTTTTTGTTTACTTATTCTTTAGAACGTTCCTGATGATATGTTAACGTATATTTCAAAAGCATTCTGTTTATTCTGGCTGTGAAATGGGATTATCCGGAATGTATAAAGAAACGCAGCCATATATTATATTATTATTAATATATTACATATTCATATGTATAAATTCGCCTTGCACCAACTTGTATAAAATCGCCTTGAGCCCAAATTAGATGTGTAAAGAAATGTTTGTTTTGAGGCGATTCAAAATAAAATCGCCTTGGTTTGTTTACCAAGGAAATTATAAGATTTTTAGGCTTTTAGGATTATGTGTCGAACTGGACGCCGAACGCCATAACGTCTGAAAAACTCGATGTGGAGTTCTCACTGTCGTTGCTACTGTTGCAGTAGCTTTAACTGTTATCGAAACATTTTTAGGGAACGATTTGGGAATTTTGTAACATTACGGAATATCTTTTCTCGCCAAAGTTACTTCTTTTCAATGGCCAGGGGTAATGACCGTCGTTCGAACTTGAAATCAGAGTATAGCTCAACAGAGTACTTTCACTATCATCACTTGGATTTATACAGATTCTTCTCAGAACCACTTTCAGGGAGTTTCTTTCTGAAAGAAGATCAAACATTTTTCGGCTGGCCCATGGCACAAACCGAAAATGGTGTAAATGTTTTTCTTCGTTTACAGAGGTATTAGCATTTCGGGTTTCGGCAGAACAAAATTCTACATACTATTACTCTTACTATATAAAGTCGCGACATAAAGAATTGTAACTTTGAATGATGAGAATACAAATACAGAGTGAAAGAACAACCAAGGCAAATCAATATCGACACCAACCAGAATATCGACACCGATATCGATAAAAGTTCTATGCCGACATCGTTAAAAAATCGACAAATATATCGAAAACTAACAGACAACCGATATCGAAACCGCTGCAAATGATAATTGTAACTGCAGGTTGAATTTCTACTTGAGTAGGTTGAATGAGGATGTGCCGAATGAGTGTCCGGCATGCGGAGAGACCCCACATGACTCGAAACATCTCTTCGCATGCCCGGAAAACCGGACAACCCTAACGGCCTTGTCCCTGTGGACAAACCCCACAGAAGCTGCACGCTTCCTAGGGTTGCCGTTAGTGGAACTTGACGACAACGACTGAGATACCAACCGTCCTGGGCGGGGTTGTGGTAGCCGCTACAACAACAACAACAACATAACTGTAACTGACAAATCGGTATCGATGATACTGATAAAAAATAATAACCATAACGATAACTGATAAAAATTGCCATATCTATACCATGTAAAGATAGCAAGACTAAGGGCCGGTTGTTCAATGTCTGATTAGCACAAATCGGAGGTAAAAGCTCCGGTTAGTTACAACGACTGCCCTAAGGGCCGGTTGTTCAATGTCTGGTTATCACTACTTGCCGGTTAAACATCATTATCGACGTTTAGACACCATGCTTATAACATGTGATCGATAAAGCAGTCGTTGTATTTAACCGGAGCTTCTACCTCTGATTTGTGCAAATCAGACATTAAACAACCGGCCCTTAAACTAGTAAAACTGTCAAAAAATAAAAATTCGCTCAGAGCGAGGGAGTAACATTGAAAAGTACGGGATCGAACACACTCAGCTCACACATGTAAATAACCAAAAATACTTTCAAATTCATTAGAATCCACTTAAACAAGTAATTAAATACTTTTCAACACGCAGAGTGCACTTTTCTTTTGTTTACAATTTGGTTGCCAAACACACTACAGCTAATCGTTTAAGGGCCGGTTACTCAATGTCTGGTTAACACTAATCTCCGGTAAAACATCGTTGTCGACGTTACCCACTCCATGTTATATGCATGGAGCCGAACACGTCGATAATGATGTTTAAACGGAGATTAGTGTTAACCAGACATTGAGTAACCGGCCCTAAAACATTTACCAGAATTTATATGCATGGAGCCGAACACGTTGATAATGATGTTTAAACGGAGATTAGTGTTAACAAGACATTGAGTAACCGGCCCTAAAGCTGGTAACTTCTGACAGAGAGAGAAGCTGAAATTAGTCGAGAACGCAGAACGTATACTTAAACGCAGTCTTTATACGCACAATTTCGTCGATTACTGGAGCCCTCAGTATTGCTTACTACACTGTTGCCACTCATCAATGCCTTTTCATAAACTTAACCTATCAACTACAATTTTTCGTGCTATAATAGATTTTAGCTAAATACAAACTACTTAGTTTTCAACAAAAACCATATTCAATAGTAAATTTCAAATATTTTAAACATATTTTGAATAGGAACTTATAACTTTTTTACCATCTGTAAAACTGACGAAGTGGCAACCATCTAAAGAAGGAGAAATCAGCTGGCACGGAAAAATCTAAATTCCGCAGATTTCTGCGCTACGGGCTACAACTACAGAAAAATTCTGCGGTGTAGAGTTTTCATTTACATGGCGCTTTGGTAAGACAGATCGTGTCAGCTGACTCGGGTTTACGTACCGGTGGGTTTACGTTCTTGACTAATTTCAGCTAGAACCGCATTTACTTTCTTTTTTGTCCTCTCAATGGTCAGAGAACCGAGTACGGGATAGATTTCCAATAAAATCTGACTAATTCTGACTATTTCTGGCTAGTCCGGACTCGTACGGGATCGCAACTATAATTACGGCAATATTGCAAAATAAGCGGACATCCATAAGGATAATTGTACCGGCAACAATACCATTGACGATAACAGAAACAATATACCTGCCAAATTCGATAAAATTTTAAACAACGATTTCGCTAAAGGTAACAATTTCGACATACTATTACTACACGCACTACCATCCGACAAGACCCAGAAAGGCAGGCAATGGCAAACCTCCGTGTATAAATATTTCTATCATTATAAAGCTTCCCTTAAAAACCACTAGAAATTCGGAGGTATCGTAGAACTATAGGTCACTCTATTTGCGAAAGGTGCTCAAACAAAAATTGGAGGAGTAGCTCCGCCAAGGAAAAATAATTTCATATTGCATTTCTTACCACTTCCTCATCTTTTTCCGAGTTTTTTTAACCGCTCCTTACGACAGACATCTGTTTCTGGGATAGTAATTTTACTGAGGTGATAGCTATTCCCCGTGTAGTACCCAGTGAGAGTTTTGAGGTACTCTCTACCTAAATTGACTAGTTTCTTTGAAATAATTTCGTCCTTCGCGTGAATGGAACATTTAACAGTCTTTATAGGATTAATAGTTGGTCCTTTATCTTCACACCATTTTTGTGTGATACGTGTGACTTGTTTCATGCGGTTGCTGATAGTTTCCTTATGTAGGCCTATTATGCAGATTACCAGAAGATCATCTGCGTAACCTTGCGGTTCAAAGCCTTGGCTGTTCGGTGTGAAAAGGAGTTCGTCTATAACCACAGTACACAAGAGGGCAGACAGTAACCCCCCTTAATATTATTAATATGAGTAGTTCAAGATGCTATCGTAATGAAAGTTAAATACAAATGAAATAGATGTCCCTTAAGCTGCCTTTACATGGGTCGATTTTCTATTCGATTTTTTTCGATCAAACAAAATCGACCAGTGTAAATGGCAATTCAACCCTCAACTGTAGGTGCTTTGGCTGGCCGATTTTCCAGTCGACATAAATCGACCCGTGCAAAGGTGACACTAAATTCTAACCTAAAGGAAGCACAGATTTTGTTTAAGTCTCCAGATATGTACACAAGTATACAAGCATAAATGCATATTCATATGTATGTAAGTATGTATTGTATACAACACAAAAAGCAAACATAATAAACTGCCTCTCTTCAGTCAGCAAGTATGTATACCTTCTGGGCTATTCCATTGTGACTGGTGGGAAATTTTACTCGAGAAAGTGATCAATTGTGGATTATTTCTATGTCAACAGATTTTTTTTTTTACATAGAACGATAACTAATGTATAAAACTGCTTTAACAAAAATACCAAGCGATTTCTTAGTTGTCAGTAATTATCATTTGAATGAATGTGACTGGTGGGACACTGAAAATAACTCTATTTTACCTTTGTGTACTCAAAGAAGAATTCTAGCCAAAACACTTAACTTTCACGAGGGATTTTCTTGTGTTTTCCTCCTTTACATGGAATGACCCATCTGCAACTTTGTTCACGAAGAAATTACATATGTATATTTTCATAAAAAAATACCAAATAGGCCTTTCTGCAAAAAAGGCAGAGTCATCATAAGCAATTTTTTTCGTTAACAAGCAATTAAATAAGCTGCCATGACAGCGCGGCTCTCTCTTTTGTCTGAACTGCCGTGGCGTATACGTAATAATGTGCTAAAGCAACACGCACTCATTTCGTACACACACACACATTGAAATGTTTTGCTTTTGTTTGTTTTTCAGGGAATAGTTATTTGTTTGTTTACTTTTCAGGGTCGTTTGCAATCAATTTCCTGCTGGATTTGTTTGTTGGCCGAAGGTTCGACACTTGCAAATAAATTTAAAAGAATGAACTCGGGGAAAAGGATTGCATTTTAACAAAAAAAAAAAATTAAAAATGCTAAAAACTAGAAAGTTTTGTGCAAAGCCAGTTATAAGCTGGGAAA